TTTCTGTATTTCAGCATCCCGTTGCAATTGTTCAAATTAGCGTCAATTGTTTATCTACGCAAAACACAATACAAACTACATATACTAAAGCCACAGCCACAAATAGGCAAGTACACGTATAATAGAAGTGGAATCCATCAAATGAAATGTTTAGATTGCACATTGAAATATGTCGGACAAACAGGAAGAACAATCAAAACCAGATATAAAGAACACATTCACGACATAAAAGTAACAATAGTAAATCAGGATATTCAAGTCGTATATTAAAAGTACGGCGCAATAACATACAGTGTGGAAACCATAACAACGAAAAAAAAGGAAAACATCTAAATAGACTTGAGAAATACCATATTTACAAAACTAGTAAAAAAGATGGTATGCCTCGGTGACAGGGGTTGGAAAACAACACATTACTCATTCACTCCGTCAGCCAACACTCTATAGCTAATCCCACCGCTGCCACCAATTGTACTGCCGCAAGGGGGGGCAAGGTAAATTCATTAATCACTAAGGTATCTGCCGCCTTGGTTTGAGTTTGCAATTCTCCTGAAGGATTCGGGGATGCCGGGATCGTCAGGGAGAAGGATTCGCACGTGAGGAAATGATAAGTTCATTAACGTTACACCACATTTCTATTCTAGTCTATTCTATTCTCCTATATCCCTATATACACAATTTGCCGACGTTCGTCGGGTTCGCATTACACTTAGGTTATTAAACCTGTAGTACCAACATTCTTTCTCCTCCTTTCACCCGGCTATCGGGTATCCTATCCCTGTCTCTCTCTTTCTCTGTTAAGCCTAGTCCGTCTGGTCCTCACTTTCTTTCCCTGGGGTTTGCCCTTTAATATTATCACACTTAATGTTCATGGCTTATATGAAGTAGGTACACTTACTTGTAATGACGAAGCAGGCGCACATCACCGACCAACATCTACTCAGCGCCACCTCTCTCTCTCTCTCTCTCGGAGATAGCCTTCGGCAGCACTCTATTGACAATTAATCCTCCCTGGGGTTTGATCCCTCTGTGTTTTTGTACCCTCTTTTTGCTGATTCGCTGGGTTCCAGGTGTGTATTTACCCGCCCATCCTGACGTGAATTTGGTTGGGGTGGCTTGCTCTCATTGGCTGTTTATCGAAAGGGGGTTTGCGCTTTTTAGTCTACCGCCCTCTCTGTCTCGGCGATTTCCTAATGCCCTAGTTCTTTCTGTTCTACTTTCATATAGCCTCTTCCTTAGTGTCAGCGTTATTACGCTGTCATGCTAACATTCGGATTACAAAAAAGTTGCCTCACTACTTGCATTACCCTTCTTTGCAAACTCCAGCTTACGGGTACATTTCATTATTTCTATTTCTTAATCTTATCGTCTAAAAACACTTATTCTAAATTAACCGAAAAACATATCTACCTGCCATAACTTTTGGGGCATAACAAAAGATTTACATATGAATGACACAAACATCGACACACACAACCCTACATTTGAAATACTATACAAAATTACACAATATAATACTATACCCTCCCCCTTCTCTCCCCACTCCTCATAGCCAGGGCTTATAAATACAAGAAGAATTACACCGCATCGGAACTAGTAAAGACAACACCACACGCTGTGGTGGAAGCACACACAAACCAGGAGCATGTGAGTACATAAAGTAAACAAACATAACACAATAATAACAAATAGAAAACAACATTAATATATGAATTTATAAATTACAGATGGCAGTCAAAAACTGAAAGTAGACAATGAACGTGAGGGGCAAGCTGCCGAGAAAAACACCTTGATACATTTACGAAAATGACACCCTGGGTGAGGTGAAATAATATGCAACAGAAATTTTAATGAATTTTGTCTCGTTTTACTTAAGAAGACTACAGCGTGTTATTTTAACACGAATTAAAACAGTGTAGCAGTTTTTAACACAGTTTTAGTAGAATATCTGTAACATAAAAACACCTGAAGAAGGCCGTTTGAGGCCGAAACATGTAGTGTTGAAGTGTAGAATGTAAAAAGTGTTGCAATTTTGACAGAAGATAAATAATGGACGCTACCGCTGATGTTAAACTGATCGGTCTGTAGTTCCCAATCACTGATCAATCTCCCACTTTGTAAATAGGGACCACTATAGCTTTTTTCCAGTCCCCTGGAATAGCTCCGTTGTTCATTGTTATGTCCAGCAATCTCGCAAGGTACGGAATCATGGCTTCCCCACCCAACTTTAAAATCACCCCAGGAATACCATCTGGCCCGACAGATTTCTTTCTCCCGATTACTGATAATCGCTTCCTTTATTTATATTGATATTGAAGGGATTAGCAGAATCCGTTAATTGGATTTGTGGATTGTTTCGCTCACCACTGAATACAGACGCATAATAAAAATTTAAGGTGTTGGACTTTTCTACTGGATCTGTGATGGGATTGTCATTATAGCCTTTGAACACCGGAATATTTTCTCTATTTCCTCTGCGCCTTTTAACATATTTGAAAAACTGCCCAGCAATTACCCTCGTTTTGTAAGACCGAACGTAAGAAGGTCTCTTGAGCCTTCCTTTTTGCTACCAGTAACTCAGATAAATGCTTCAACTCCTTACAAAGACAAAAGAACTCCGTCCAGTGTGTCTATTGAAGTTTTTACTACTTGAAAACTTAACACCCTTACATGTTTCGGTCCCTATAGACCATCATCAGAGGGACACCGATACTTTTTTTGCAAATTACTATCATAATGGGTGTTTTGAGTGTTAAAATACATATACATACAATGTTTGTAATGCACAATACGAGTATATACAAAATCCAACTTTTCCACAACTGCAGCAGCTTTCTTGGTATATTAAAGTTTTCAAAATTTTTAAAACTTTGTTATTTAAATTAAAATTTATAAACCAAGTAGGTTCGTGTCCCTTCTCCTATCGTCTTGATGGGGGCTGAACTTGTGCCGCCTGTCTATCTTGAGAAGGAGATTCTGCAAATATGTTATGAGTACTGTATTATTTCAGCGACCCTATTGTATATATATTTTAAAGATTTTGTTGTTTCGTCCTACCTTGGTATTGTCCTGTATTGTTCGTGGCGTGCTGTGTTGATTTTACTGTTCTAGAATGTGCTGCCCCGCGTAATTTATACTTCCTGTGTCTGTGACGTTAATGTGGGCGTGTTCTGATGTTATATTATGAGGTCAAACATGTTACGTTGGTTATTACTTTCTCTTGCGTGTTTTTGTTCTTCTATCAATTTATTGAATTTATTAAAGCGATATATATGGAAGTCCTCTTTTATATTCATAATGCCTCCTTTTTTGGCTTTCTCAGTCATTTCCATGATTACTGTCATCGGCCTGTACTGATGGCGTTTATTTAGTATGTGTTGGGCAAATGCTGATTAGTCTTTGTTTAGTATTGTGTTTCTTATGTGTTCTTTGTATCTTGTTGTTAGATTTCTACCAGTTTGGCTGATGTATACTTTTTGGCAGCTTTGGCATGTTATTTTGTATATCCCACTTTGTTCGTAGGTGTTTGTTTCTCGTTTTTCATTTATTAGCTTATCTGTTGAGTGGGTTGTTTTGAAGGTTATCTTTATGTTAGTGTTTTTGAATAGTTTTGTGATTTTTCGTATGTAATTTCCTGTGTAGGTATATGTGACCCATTTTTGTTCTTTTTCGTCTTTATTATCCGGGTTACTTATCTTTTGTTTAAGTTTGTTATATAGTTGTGTGATGTCTTCCTTTCTATAGCTATTATTTAGTGCTATATTAATAATAGTATTCAATTCTTTGTTTTTAGCGTTTTCCTCAAGGGGTTGTGTAAGAAGTCTGTGTATCCAATTTTTGTATGCTGATCATTTTTGTTCTTTAGGGTGGCATGACTTATTATTTATTGTTATATCTGTCGTTGTGGGTTTTCTGTATATTTCCATTTCTATTTGTCCGTGTCTGTTAAATAGGTTTAAGTCCAGGTAGGCTATTTGGTTGTTTACTTCCTCATTTATTGTGAATTGCAGGTTTTTATGTTGTTTGTTGAAATTTTCGAGGATGCCTTGATCTTCCCTGTGGTCTCTTTCCTTCTGGCTTTCCCACCAATATCCTATACGCATTCCTCGTCTCCCCCATTCGTGCTATATATATATATATATATATACAGTAGAACTTGGTTATAACGTCATCAAAGGGACCTAAAAATAGTGTCGTTATAAACGTATA